ACCGCCTACAACCAACCAATAGGAGGCCTTGGCACCGCCCACCTCAGCCAGTATTTATACCGCCCATAATCAGGGCTATAAAGGTAGCGCGCTGAGTGCCGCCAGGCAGTTCGGTCAGTTCCCTCTTCGCAGTCAGTTCCTTTTCTCTTCGCAGTTCTTCACAGTTTCTCCTTGCAGTTTCGCTGCTTTCGCAGCTCCACACTTCCACAGCAGTTCCCGAACACTACGAGCACACAGAAATGAGAACGAACACGATGTGCCAACACAAGAGACGAGACACAAGACACTGCGGACCCGCTATCGCCTGAAGAAGAACACAAGACACAATTTGACTCGCATTTGACACGAATATGCCAGTAGTTTAGCCTCGTATGTTTATGCTTGTAGTTAATGATTGTAGTCATGCTGTATGTGCTATGTGTTACCAATAAACATGTAACCTACCACTTGAACCACCAAAACCTCATTTGAACCGTGATGCAGTTCAAAACATCCCTAACAGTTGTCGTACGTCTCGAGACGATTCGACCACCAGATGCGATGATTATGGTCGCTAGTCGCCTTAAGTCACATGCCTTCAGTCACAGATGTGTAGCGTTATTACGACTGAAATGCGTTATAAGCAAGGTGATGTGGTCAGCATTCGCACTGGGATCTATTCATCGTGGCAGCGCTGTAATGTGTCAACTTTCTTTATACCTCCTACACAAGCCAGAAAGGCGTGCAAAGCCGCGACACGGATGTAACGCTATACACCCTTCAGTCACAGCTGTGTCTAACCTTTTCTCAGAAACACGGAAGATGCTGGATGATAAGATGACGGATGTGGTTCTTATTAGATGGACTCAAGTTTCAGATTATATACACTTCATTGCCACGCCCGTTATCCAGTCCTCAGGTTTCATCAAAGGACCACGAAACCCCGTGTTCTTTTCGACGCTTTAGCTCATCTGAAAAGCGAACCACAGCTCGATGATGTTCTTTATCTAGTACCAGTCACTCTGCCAAGAATCTGGAAGATCTTTCTTTGATTTTGATTTAGACAAGTTGCTATCGTTAGCAACTTGTCCAATTCAGAATCATCGTTGAGAATTCCTTCTTGTAACTTCCTTCACGCTATAGAGACACTAGGCGAGTTTTGGATATGCGGCATGACGCCTGTCAGTACGGTTACCTCTAGGTTCAGAAGGATTCTATTTGGACTAAACTGTTCGCCACTTCTACTGACGGGCATAGTAAGCAGTCACTTGAAAACATGCTTGAAAGACTTCAAATTAGCAAGCGACATTGCAAACATTACCTCCACATAGTCTTATTCGATGCGGATGATCGGCGTGCCAAGAGTGCAGGAGTTTACCGCGGCGCCACCCCGTTTTCCTCTTTTTTTTTCTTTCCGCAAGCAACGAGACTGTATCATATCGTTCGTATCAATCATTGTCCACTGCTACTGTCGCTCATTAGCTTCAGTAACTAATGGGAAAGGAACTGTGCAGTGAACTGTTCAGACTGTAGAAATAGGTCGCCTTTACATCATCTGTCATGACCTCCAGTCATGAAATCGATGATGCTCGTTGGCACCCTAGTGCCGGCTTTCGCAATCTCAACCCGACCCCGTGCTACAAGCCTCGAGGGCAGAACGATGTGACCGTCTGCCTGCACCGGTACAAATACCGCCCCTTCACATATACCGCTGCCTGAAAGAAGTAAGGTTCTTCAGCAGTTGAGTAACCGCAAGTGGCGCAAGTGGTTTTTCCTCTTTTGCAACTTGCAGCTCACACACCACACAACACACACACACACACACACACACACACACACACACACACACACACACACACACACACACACACACACACACACACACACACACACACACACACACACACATCTCTCTCTCTCCTCTCTCTCTCTCGCTCTCTTTCTCTCTTCCACTCTCTCTCTACCTCGCTCTCTATCTCGTCTATCTATTTCTCTCCCACTGTCCTCTTACTACGAATAACCTCGCTGGTCGAGAAAACACTAGACGTCGGGGGACCTGCTACCGACGTTGATACTTTGTACATATCACTGCAGCAAACGAGACTACTGTATGATACAATTCTCATATTTGGATCATAGTTGTTTGATGTCCTGTCTAATGTTATGTTCAATAAATTGTAATGTATTATAGAGTCATATGGATAAAACGAGGAATAAAGCTGTGCTGAGTGTTGTATGAACTTGTAAACCATCAAAACTTAGTTGGATTGTGGTGCTGTCCAAAAAACAAGGAAGAAGCACTGCAGTTCAGGTTAATCTTACCTACTTATGAAGTATTTGTTGTATTCGTGTATGAGTTGTAGACGCGTCGGAGGTCACATGTGGACAAAAGAATGGGACAGGTGAAAAGGATAATTGAGCCGATAGGAGCAGCAGGTTTGCCATCATAGCTTTACCTTTTACTATTGTTCTGTTCGACTTCTATCAAGTTCTCTTCTTCTAGCTGGCTCACTCTTCTTTGTCCACCACGGCTAAGGTGAGTCCCTCGATGGAGGACAGCCCGGTTGTCAATATAGAGCTGACCTCTGTCATGACCCTTGGTCATGATGACTAGGATGCACGGGTCGCAAATGCACATTTTCTAGAAAGTTCGCTCATCGCCTGTAACCAACCAATAGGAGGCCTTGGTGCCGCCCACCTGAGCCGGTATTTATACCACCCACAATCAGGGCTATAAAGGTGGCTGAAGGCCCCTACGGGCACTCTCGCTCATTCTCTTCGCAGTTCTTCACGGTTTCTTCTCTCAGTTTCACTGCTTTCACATCACGAGCACATAGGGACAAGAACGAACACGATGTGCCAACACAGGAGACGAGACACAAGACACTGCGGACCCGCTGTCGCCTGAAGAAGAACACAAGACAACACAACTAGACTTGCATTTGACAGGTGATTGTAGTCATGATGTATGTGCTATGTGTTACCAATAAACATGTAAACTACCACTTGAACTACCAAAGCCTTATTTGAACCGTGATGCAGTTCAAGACATGGTGCATCGGCCGGGAATCCATTACGTTACACGACGAGAACCACCACGAAACCACAGCTCCCAGTCCCCCACGACATCGCAAGGTCTTGGAGCTCAATCCTGAAGATCCTATTCAACGATGGCTCCATGACCCATTTTTCCACCCGCGTCCCAACCCGCAAGGAGGGATTCCGGTGCGGTACAACCCGTGGATGGAACCAACTGCCGGAGCAGGACGACGAGCTGCTCCATTCATTGTACTATGACCTGCCCTGGCAGCGAGCTTACTGGCACCATCGTTGGATGCTAAGGTTCTATAGTCCACAGACTCCCCACTCGTCCATTGCCTCCGACGAATCAGACGATTCGTGGCCGGAACAAGAAGAAGGTGTTTACTCCTCAGACGAGGATGAGTAGAAGCATCAAGTGATCTTCTTAGGGTAAACTTCTGATAACTTTAATCATTTGTTTAATTTTTATAATATGTATAAAATATAGCAGAATTATACATTGAATATTGATTTGATTGATACATTGAATATTGATTTGACTGATTATTGATTAACACTCGTTTTATTAGTTAATAATAAAATTGTAACACATAAGTGCACACCAGACACTTCCACGATCCCTACCATCTATCATTCACTTATGACACGAGTTTGAGATATTAACATCGCGGTATAGTAAAGACAAGACTTTTTTCCCCTTTTTTCATCTAACACTCATACTCGACTCTAACACTGCGTAGAATAGGCACCCTGACCACTCAGTCCGAGTTAACCAGAGGGGGGAGCCTCTTGTGATGGCTGACCCAGTCCGGTTAATTAGGACTATGCACCTCTTTCTTTAAGTCAACACCCCCATTTACAATAAATTCACTTTAGTAACACCTTTAGGATGAACGACAACGCAGCAACCCCCCCCCCCCCCCGCGTGTTGACTGTTCAGGAAACATTTAATCGAGCATTTGCGGAACTCGCACACCTCCATCAGGTCACGTCCATTTTGCTAGTAATTATTCACATCGCTCCTCCAATATTACATTATAGATCAGGGACATAAGTTACGCAAGCTGATGAAACTTGGTTTTCAGCAACACCAGCAAACCATCGATGCGAGGCTCACACAATAGAAGGCACACTGCACACCATGAATCTGCTACGTACTCCACACGGACCATCCACATCCTGCTGCTCCGGAACCCCACGACACAAATCACTAGTTACTTAGGGTAAACGTACAATGCACATGTATGAATAGTTCACTTCTGCTTGATTTCCTGGTTTTGGGGAAAATTGGCAGTTGATTTCGATGAGTACTTTAGGACTTTGCTTGATTTCGTGATTTTAGTGAAAGGGTGACAATTAATTTCGTGGTTTCAAGAAAGATTTCAAGAGAAATTGATTTCGTAATTTTAAGAAAGATTTCGTAATTTTAAGGAAAAGTACAATAAACTTCAGCAGTTTTCGTTGTACCTCGATCACGATACATAGACCTACACTTTATAGACCCATAACAGTACACCCGCCGATGTTTACATTGGTGCGTGCGCTATCATAGACTATCTCGCTAGCAAATTATAACACACTCTCACGGAACATTAACACACAAACAAGAGAAGGACAAAAACGTTCATTGCATGTTACCCGAGACCGCCGCCGAATCAGTAAATAGCCTAGCGGCAATGATGTCTGCGCCATTTGCATGGTGGAGAGATTGATACCCACTGCCAAGTTTTGCAAACAACCTATCGAAGCCCATTTCTTCTAGTATGGCTGCCTCGCTCATTCTTCTCTCGCTGTTCTGCAAACTGCGAGCAACTCATCACATTTGATGGCGAGTTTCAGGAAGATTACTTCGTCCCTGACACACGCATCCATTTAATGCGGATCTCGCTTAACGCGTTAATTCTCCGCTGTCGTAAAGAAACACTGTACTTTACTCGAAACACAATCACTCGCATACAGTATCGGAAGCGTTGCCCCCTATGGGCACATGTACTGGTCTTAAATGTGCAAAAATCAATTACAATACCCTTGTCGACGAACTCGACGAAGCTAATAACTACACAGGCATCACCTACTGCTCCGAATCCTGCGGTGGATTAGGCTGCTCTTGCGGTTACCCATCATCAGGCTGCCTCTTCTATCGCATATATCATATACCCCTCGATGACAATGTCTACGAAGTGTTTCAATGCCCATCTTGGTTCCAGACCATATCGATCAATGTGCAGACTCAAGGCACTAGCCATATATCGCAAAATATTGAACTAAAACCCTATACTAAAAAACGCATTGCAAACACAACATTTGAAATTACAAGCATTTCTTCTACACCACTCTCATCCTTCATCAACGATTTATCAGCAATAACCAGATAACAGCGTATGTCCACACAGAAACCGAATTCAGCTACGCATGCAACACTAACCCAAATAAACCACATAACGGCACTAATGATTGCATTATCAAAGATACCTGTAAATGCAATCCTGCTGAAGATTTCGTCACCTGCTATTGCACCAACAATAACGTTTCCCACATCACCCAACTTTCCAATACCCTTCCTCTTCCTATACCAAACGGTCTGGTATCCACTGAAGGCCTCAACAACATACCTACCGTAAGGACAACCGCTATCTCCGTCGACCTTATGCTTACACTAGACCCCCACACATCCAACGGCAAGAAATACAGTGCCTTATTCTTCCACAACATTTTCTCGGATGCTACAACTGCGTGAAAGGTTCCTTAGCTACAATTCTTTGTAAATCTGACACTTCCCAGTCCATTGCACAAGTCAATTGTGGACAACAGACATTCACATTGACCTGCAGTCTATCGGGTACCTCCAACAATGTGCGTCTATTTTTTAACAAAGCCCAAGTACATGAAACTTGCAGAGCACAGTGCGGTACACACATCACAATATTTGAATTACAAGGCACTCTCAACTACATCAACGGCATACAGCCCTTGTGGAACTATATTCGCTTATGGAACAACAACACCAATACTGACACATCATCTATCAACTTCGAGCTGGCTCTACCAGACTTTTCCCACTTCGTCCACACTTGCAAACAATTCCTCATCTACTCAGTGACAATCCTTCTTCTTCTCACCAGCGCATTAATGGTTAGCCATAGACTCCTTTGCTCACAGACACCAAAAACATCGAGAGGATCCTCGCACATGGTCACAGTCGCATCAATTTTCCCTCCCCTCCAACTCATTCTCTTCATAATCGTGGTCTTCAAGCAGCTCCTTTCCTTCACAACACGACTTCTTCGTCTACCACTACGAATTCTCGGCTCTTCACGTCTGTTCAGACAGTGATCTACCATGTCACTACCACTACAACACCACCAGCGTTCTGCACCTCGGCAGTCCACAGGCCATCGGCTAGCAACGTCATCAAGCCTGCTACGGCAGCATCAATTTTTTTCCTCCTTCTTCTCGTATTATAGGTTCTGTTGTATTACTGTACTACTCCATACTATTATTACTGTACTACTTTATACTCTTATTACTGTTATTCCATACTGTATTACTGTAGGATGTGACTCCGGACACTACTACCAAAAAAAAACACACACAAAACGCAACAAAAATACACTTATACAAATACAATTCTTCGGCGGCGGGGAGGATGCAAACGGCATTTATGTACTTGCAATTTCTAAACTTCTCTGGTCGTGCGGAGTGTCATGACCCTTGGTCATGATGACTAGGATGCACGGGTCGCAAATGCACATTTTCTAGAAAGTTCGCTCATCGCCTGTAACCAACCAATAGGAGGCCTTGGTGCCGCCCACCTGAGCCGGTATTTATACCACCCACAATCAGGGCTATAAAGGGCTGAAGGCCCCACGGGCACTCTCGCTCATTCTCTTCGCAGTTCTTCACGGTTTCTTCTCTCAGTTTCACTGCTTTCACATCACGAGCACATAGGGACAAGAACGAACACGATGTGCCAACACAGGAGACGAGACACAAGACACTGCGGACCCGCTATCGCCTGAAGAAGAACACAAGACAACACAACTTGACTTGCATTTGACACGAATATGCCAGTAGTTTAGCCTCATATGTTTATGCTTGTAGTTTTAATGATTGTAGTCATGCTGTATGTGCTATGTGATACCAATTTAGTCACTGCGCACTTTCTAAGTTTTAATTTATTACGAACTACAGTCAAAGGTGTTACTCCCAAGGCGATATCAGGCGTTAAACGGTCGCTTTATTACTCAAGCAATTTATGTTGTGAATTCAAAGCCTCCGATACTTTTTATGCAAGGTTTACTGTATGTTTTATTACTCAAGCAATTGTATGTTGTGAATTCAAAGCCTTCGACACTTTTTATGCTTACTGTATGTATGTACTGACGAATTGTATCAACTTTGCACAGGTCCACAAGTTCCATAGTGTTGTTTTATTCTAATAAAGAAATAGATGCTATGAATATTTTTCCCGACAGACACCATAAAATCAACAACATAAATATCACAATTTGAAATTGAAAGGAGAGGTAACGACAGAAAATGCGTCCCGCGCTAACGTACTATCAAGCTTTCAAGCAATAGTTGAATTGGCCGCAGGATCTTCTATAGGCCCTTTAGCTGAGACAAGTTAGAGCTGTGTGCATCATATAACCCAATGGCGGTATCGCCGCTATGGGGTCTTTGCCAGACATACAAGGGGGGCCAAAAAAGTCACTTTTCTTCATTGACTTTCGAGGCGCTATAAGTTACACTTTATTAAATTCTGATCGGACATTTCTACCACCATATTAAAGAGCATATTAAATACTATCATGATACTCCGCCACAGCCTTCTGGAGGAGCGCCATCGAGAGATTCTGCCACGCGACCGTGAGTGGGTGCCTGAGTTCAGCGAGATCGTTGATTTCTCCGCCACTGTAGACCACCCTATTGAACTCCGCCCGAACCAGGTAATTGAGGGGTTTTCAGGTGACCTGCTTAGATATTCCATCTTCTTCAGGTACTCAACGCCCTTCCATTCCAAGTAGGAGAGTTTTTCCAACGCCCTTCGATTCCATGTGGTGTCACCCAATCCTGTAGCAGTACAAAGTTTCCAAGAACGGGCGACGACATGTGGGGAGGATATTCTTCTCGAGTTGCTCGATGTAACCGCCAGCGCTCACCTTCAGTCCGGGGTCCACGAAGAAAATATTCGGTCTTTCCATTCCAGGTACGTCCGGTCCATACCATCAACCCGCGCCTTGGCGACTGCGGTGAAGATGATGTCCTAGACCGTGGCGACGTTGTCGGAGCTGCTCGATGGAATTCTTCCAGATCGAGAGTACTGGTCTCCCTATCCATGGGTGACTCCATACTAGAAGTTTCGCAGCTGTTTGGAGGTGACATGAATTCCAAAGGTCTTCTCCAGTCAGGCTGCGAGATGACTTCATATTTTGGTGTACATGAAGGTGATGGGCGAGAGCCAGCTCCTGCTTATCGAGGAACATCTTGGGTATCTTCCGCCCTGGTACTCGTATCCACGTCTGTCTGGGCTGCGAAAACTTTGCTGATATGTGACTCGGTCGAAGTGACTTTTTTTGGCTTCCCCTATATATAGTTTCTCAATTTTAGCTTTGGTCACGATCTCCACTGATAAGTAATTAGGATGGCCGTTGGACCGTCCGATTCAAGGAGCATATGGAATTACTGTCCCACATGGTCGAATCGCTGACCTTTGGACGAGAATAATGTCGACGTGCCCGTTCGATTTGACACGGCTGATGTCATGAGGGTTTCGTTCCGAGCTCGTTCCTTTCAAAAATAAAAGTATAACCGTAGGAATTACGTTGCACACGTTGTGATTCAAATGCGTTCTAATACTGCAGAATGAGAAGTCGCTCAAGCTTTCCTGACTGGTGACATTTTGCTCGGAAGCCGTGCACATGCTGATGTAGAGGCCGCCACTGTCAACAGCATGTATGGTGCAGGCAACTTTCTTTGAGCAGTAGTTTTGGCACACGATTAAGCTACACGCCACTACATTATTCTAAGGACAGCGGTGCAGAGCGACGCCAGTGAACCTCTCACACTCGATGTTCAAAAAAATAGCTATCGCGCTCCACGCCAACATGAAGGAATTCCACGTGACCTACCATTCGCATTTGTGCTTGTAATTTTGGCGCTTTTTTGACGACAGATACATACTATGTTTATCAACAAGTAAGTAGGTAGCAAATAAACAGCGAAAAACTTTCTTCTTCTCTGAAAAGCCTTCTTTTTTCTCGGCCCACCCCACATGTGAAAAGGCTTGGGCGTAGAGTCGGAAACTCATGGCACAGAATCTCCATCGCCAGCATCTTACGTGAGTGTCTCTAATTGCATGTTAGCAGTAGCGGGAAGTTAGGTTCCGTTCTGAAAACGGTAAGGATGGCCACATGATATCAGCGTGTAAAGTGATTTGCCCACGGGCTTCATATCGAAATGATGAAGCTCAAATCAGAGTACCTTTGTGGTTTAACGACTGCAAGCGTCTGAATGTAGCTCCGCTGATCATAGCATTCTCGTCTTGTGATAAGTACCTGTTCTGTATAGATGGTACTTCTAGATTTCTCGTTGGGGAAGAATTCGGAATTTCGTGCGTACCTTCAATTTCGAACAATGTTGTCCGAACTCTTATCCAACCAGAATTGTGAGAGGGCTCTGCAATAAGAAGGGAGGATCGTGAGCAGACCAACTTGTATTTACTTGTGTATACCGCTTTTACTTGTATACACGACAACCCCTTTATCTGCACCCCGTGTTTCACGCATTCTACTTCCAGGTTATCGAGATGATGTTCCAAATGACGTTCAAAGAGCGATCCAATGGATGGAGCGTGGAACGGAGGGATCTAGGACTAGGACAAAGTTCCGAGAAAACGGGGAACCAGCCGGCCAACCTTCCCCATTTATTATTATTCGGAGGCTTCAGCTGATAAAGTATGGTATTTGCTCCTGTAGTCTTGTTGTTCTTTCGTGTGTTGGCTATTGCTTGTAGATAAAGTATTTGCTGTATTCGTGTGTAAGCGCAAAGGCGTCTGAAACCAAATATGAACATCAGAAAGGGACGGAAGGAGGCAGACGTCCAAACATCCCGTGAACTCGTTTCCGAAACTGCTCTCCCTAGAGTTCATGGAAGCTGAAAAAAAATTAGCATACACAGCTTCGACTCCGAGAAAATCAGAGAATACAGTGGAAGTTAGCGACTGGACACTTCGTCTCTAAACCGGCCACTGCTCTCGTTCCGCTTCAGTTAGAAGACATCGTAAATGAGCCGACATGAGCTGCGTATGAGGGTATGACTACGGCTGTGTTCACCATCTTTGTAATGTGTTCACAGCCATGTGGATAAAAATTAA